CTGAACTATCAATCTGCTCCATAGTTTCTTTTTCCCCCCCAGTAGTTCTGCCATTCAGCTCTGGAGAGAATTGACACACATTTTCGCCTTTGCACTAGTATTGTTTAATAAATTCACTTTGTTTTTCATTGAATATGTATTTTATCTGATCTCAGAATCCATTAAATATGTGTTGCCCAATATTTATTAACCACATTTCAAACTATTATCCTCAAGCTTACTTGTTAAAGAAAACACAAAACAGGGATTTTCACGAACATATTTGCAAAGATTATGAATTTATCCTGTGTGCAGCTAGAGCGGTATCAACCTTGGAGAAATCTCTCAGATAAAGTAATACAGAAACTAAGCTAAAGTCCACTCAGGTGAAATGGACTTACATACATGAATTAGGGATCAAAAGCATCTCTTCTGATAGGTTTCATCAGAATGTATGTTTTGTACACAGGGCTGTCAGTCAAATGTTGGCTAATTAATTGGAGCAGGTCTCAGCTAGAACTTGCAGCTTGAAAGTATGGTAGTTTGACCCAACATGTGACCCCATTACAGAATGCTTCATTTATTTATTTGTTTGTTTATATTCAATTTTTGGAGTGAAGCTAAAGTGAAGGGATTTTGGCATCTGAAAAGTGTTATTCTTATGCCAAATGATCACAGAGTAAGAGCTAATCAAAACTATACGAGCACAATTAAAGCCTTTCAATCACACCCCATAGCATTTTACCAAACTGAGTTTCAATGGACAAAAAAGTAAAATTCATCTACAATGACAGTAATCTGAGATACATATTTTCCATACAATAACTCTGTATCATATGTCTAAAGCTATACTGATTTTTTATTGTTTACAATTATTACCATGCACATATCAATAAGGCTTTCATGATGGGAAAAAAATTGGAGATATCATAATACAATTTTGCAAGAATGTTATTCATTGAAACAATGTATTTTTCAAGAGCATATGCAGCAACTATACATATAGATATCACTAGATGGCACATGTGACGATCAAATGGACTACGTCTATATAAAGAGGTTATGGAGAAACTCAATGCCATCAGTCAGAATAAACTCAGGGCAAGTGCGTCGTCTACACCAACTCTTCCTCAGTCTTCCGTGTTCAGTTGCCAACTGTCACATGCATCTGAGGCATTTGAAAGTACCATGGCTGGAGCCAGGCACACCTCAGTCCTCCCAGTAACACCTTTGCTTTTCCGTGGTTCATATGTAAATCCAGGTGGAAACTGAAGAAACTTTTAAAAAGTACACAAGGCCCTGAATATGCCTTTGCACGTAGACCACCTGAATTCTGAGAGCATCTCAAGAATTGATTTGGCATATTGAACACATAATGTACAAATACCAGAAGAGTTGTGGGAATTATGATGAAATAAAAAAAAATTCAAATGAAAAAGGTAGGAGAGAAAGGGCCAAAGGACCAAAATGGTCGTCAGAGAGACTGAAAGTTGTTTGCGCAGGTGTAGTTGCTGTGGTGACTGTTGCTGAGTGCCATTGAGCCAGTTCCCACCTATAGAAGCTGCACAAGAGAAGGAAACCCTGCGCTGTCTGGGCTCCTGTGCCTGAGCCCATTGTTGCAACCACTTTTCAATCCATCTCCTTCAGGGCCTCTCCTCTTTTCCAAGCATCATGGTTTTCTCCAGGGACTTGCCTCTTCTGGCGGCATGTCCAAAGTACATAAGACAAAGCCTTGCCATTCTTGTCTCTAAGGAGTACCCGGACCATGCTTCTCCCAAGACAGAATGGTTTGTCTTTCAATATTCTTCAGAGGGATCATGATTCAAATTCATCAATTTTTCCTCGATCTTCCTTATTCAATGTCCAACTTTCACATGCGTATGGTGCAATTTAAAAGGAGGCTTAGATCTGGAGCCCCTCAAAATAACTTCCTTGCATTATAATATTTTAAAGGGATCCTGTGCAGCAGACTTACCTAATGTAACTTGTCTCCTTATCTCTTGTCAGCTGCTTCCGTGAGCATTGATTGTGAATTTAAAAAGACAAAAACGTTGACAAACGTTTTCCCTCATTTATCGTGATGTTACCTATTGGTCCAATAGTGAGGATTCTAGTCTTTGCATTGACCTGTAACCCATACTGAAGATGGCAATCCTTGAACTTTTCAGCAAGTGCTTCAAGTCCAGCTTGGTTTCTCTCACTGCTATCTAGTCAGTGCTGACTCAGAGCAACCCCCTATGGATTTCTGAGACTGTAACTCTTTATGGTAGTTGAGGTAGTTAGTTTATTGTGCCAACCTAGCCGATAAACACTTGTGGGATTAATTGAAGGGCTGAGAGATAAATGGCTCGTTGGGCCGAGAGATAAATGGCTCCTTGAGCCTCGCCTTTCTTGTCTCTTGCTCTTTGATCATCGGGCCAGTGTGCGGCTACCTTGCTTGTTCTGTGCCTCCGTTTGCAAGCTACACTACCTATGGGACACCAAACCCATGGACTGTGTCACTGTAATTTGAGATTCCTTCAAGACCTGCTTAGCCACACAATTGGAGTTTACGTCTCTTGAGCTGGGGACTGTCGGAACCTGTCATCTGGCTGACTGTTGGTGACCTGCCTTGCTGTTTGCTGCCTGTGCCTGGATAGCCTGAATTGCTCTACAGAGGACTACCCAGCGGCTCTCAAGACTTGAAGGGACTATCAGTGTCTCACAACTGTCTCACGGGAGTGAGTTGCACTGAGCAATTTGTACTACTTTAGAATTTAATTAACTGTTTATTTCTTATGTTAGATATATACCTATCTGTATAAATATATACAAAATTATTAGCATGCTGGTTTTGTTTCTCTAACTAGTCTAACACAGTAGTAGAAAGCTCAATATTTCTCCAGAGGAACTGCTGATGGTTTTGAACTGCTGACCCTGTGGATTGTAGCCCAATGCCTAATCACTACACCACCAGGGCTCCATATTAGTTTCTATCACCAACTCCACATTTTCCAACTACTGTTCCTTCTTCTTCATTTCCAACAACTACATTGCAATCACCAATAATTTTCATTACATATTTGATCAATTTCCAAGTGAAGTCATTGGTAGAATTCTTCAATTTCTGCATCATGTGCTATGTGGCTGTAGCATAGGTTTGATTAATAGTTGTATTTATTGGATTTTCTTGAACTGTAATAGATAAAATCCTATCACAGACACCATTGTACTTCAGGGTTGATTTTGAAAAGTCCTTTTTGATAATTCCATTCCTTTTGATTGTATTATTCCTTGTATCATAAATCATATGATTTTCTGATTCAAAAGGACTGATACTCATCTATTTCAGCTCACTCATGCCTAGGATACTTATCTGATGTGCTCTATTCCTTTTGGACTACTTTCAACGTCCCTAGATTCATACTTCGCACAACCCAAGTTCTGCTCAGCATCAGATTACTGCAGCCATTTCTCCTTATCTTGAGGAGTGTCCCTCAGCAAATAAAGACATCAGAGGAGTCATTCCGACAGGCTTTACTCCATTCATGTCACTATGGTTGACTGCAGTCTGAGAAGCAGCCCCTCCTCAGTCACATCTTGAGTGTCTTCCCCCAAATGGGGCCTCCCTCTGCCGCTATCCCGGATGTTCTGCTCCCATTGATCAGGCCTTCAGTATCTGACAACGTTTCAAGCCATACATAAGGTTTTTAGCAGCTACTTCCTCCAGAGTAGGTGGCCATTTTCTCTTCATTGACTGTTCTTAAGTCTGGAAGCTCTGCTGATACCTGTGTGTGTGTTGGGTGACCCTGCTGTCATGTGAAATACCCGTGACAATGCCTGCGGCATCACTGCAGTGCACGGGCATCCCAGTAACAGACAGAGAAGTGGTGAACTTTAAGCCACAGAGAAAGAAAATGAGAGCCAGAGAGATAAAATATCTGGAGAGAGGTGGATCTCAAGAAGATATTTATAACAACTTTAAGCTAATAGATGTGCATGTAAATTAAAGAAAAACTAGACAAATATTACCTATTAAAGATTACACAAGTAAAATGTGAAAGTCTGAGATTTCCAATCCTTTAAAAAGTAATTGGTTTCTTAATATAAATCTTAGAAAACAAACCCTATGCTCAGATACCTCCAGTGGTACATTAAAAAAAAAAAAGTATTGATCCTACACAAATATTCTAAGGAAAAGAGAAATTCTTCACGTTTGTTTTTGTTGTTGTTATTATTTCAGAGTCCAGTATTATATTGATAGTCAAACCTGGAAAAATACTGTAACATTAAAAATTATGGGCTAATCCTTTCAATCAACTTAAAAATTTAAAACTATTATTATAAGCCCTTTAGATGATACATTAAAATAATTTCAAATCACATAAAGTATGTTGACTGGTCTTTTTCCATTAATGAAAATTTGGATTAACAGTTGAAATCCATCAATGAGTAGCTATCATTCCCAAATTAATTGAGGAGAAAAGAAACTCATATTTCATCCAAATGATGAAGAAAAAATTAATAAACTCAGAAGCTCATTAAAGACAAAATTTTATTAAGAATTAAGGAAAAGAAAGGAAACTTTTTACTGTGGCAAAAACTATCTTTAACAACTATGGTGCTTATCACTAAAAAATCTAAAGTTTTAAGATTAGCACCAAGGCAAGCTGTGATAGCTAATTCAAGACAGCATTGTGCAGGAGGTCCCAGTAAATGTAACAAAAATGGCACTACGAAATCCAAATGTGCTTGGAGAAAAGTAACAAGAATAGTTTTATTAAATCAAGATACTGAATATTTGGTGAATATTCAAAAACAAAGGAATTTTATATGAGCCAACATGATAAAATGAGAATTGCTGTACATTTTTTAAAATGTAAAAACTGATACATTAGAAGAGTGCTATTAGAAAAGAATATGGAATAAACCATCATTGCTCACAAATAAACCAAGATTGCTCACTTACTTTGGGCATTTCGTCAGGTAAAACCAATCACAAGAGAATGGCATCCTGTGTGGTCAGCAGAACTAGGGAAACCTTTCCTCCAGGACCTTCTGCTGGGGAGTGCCCGGGCATGGCCTGAGGACAGAGAAGAAAGCCCCTGTCCCTCCCCAGGAAGAACCCACTTTCTTCTGGGGCCAGTGCCAAAAACCAAAAAACAAAAAACCAAGGGAAACCTTCAAATAGATCCATTTACAGAGATGGTGCAGAACCTTCAGTTTGCTCTGTTATCCATAAAATTGCTGTAAGTTATTGCAGATTGAAAAGTACCTTCTGGTGTGAGAATTTAAATAACGTGTCTTATGATCTCTTCATCCACACGGTGCGATGTTGACACGATTATAGTTCTTACAGTGAAATAGGATGATTTGTTAGCTGCCACTGAGTCCCTTCTGATTCAAAGTGACCTGATTTACTACAGAACAAAAGACTACCCAGTTTGGTACCAGCCTCACAATTGTTCTTGTGTTTGTGCCCATGGTTGCAGCCCTGTGTCAATCCATCTCACAAGGCCTGCCTTCTTCTTACTGCCGTCTACTTTCCCACACTTGATGTCCTTTCCAGGGGCCTAGTCTCCTGACAAGACCACACTTTATGAGACAAAGCCTCGCCATCCTAACCTCTACGCAGCATTCGGGTTGTACTTCTTTCAAGAGAGATTAGTTTGTTCTTCAGGCAGACCATGTACTTTCAATATTCTTCACCAGTGTCATAATTCAAATGAATCGATTCTTCTTCTGTTTTCCTGACTCAATTTTCAACTTTCACATGCATATGAAGTAATTTCCATATTCTTCCCAGAGCTAAGGCTGCATCAGAGTAGCTTCATGTGACTTCTTGTTAGAAATGTCTCATAGGGAGTGATCACGTGTCCCACCTCCAGCGAGCTATTTATCTCCTTAGCTCCTCCAAATGAGGTCATCAGCCTGCGACCTGATTGACAGGTAAACTCCACCCCTTCACTCAAAATCTCAAGTTGACAACAGATTATGTAACTACCACAAATATAAAGATAACATTGATGTCATGATTTTTGTTGAGATAGCATGGAATAATACACAGAGGTATCACTATGTGAAGCTGTTATTTTTTTGGGGGGGGTAGATTTTTTGTGCGTGTGCTTCAATCTTGAACACACAGAAGAATTATAAGCTGCCTAACATTTTCATTATAATAATTGTATCTAGTGATCCTTATCTCAACATGGTATTTAGTAAGACATAAGAAATGAAAAATAAATGATTTCAGATTGCCTTTTTCTAATCTAATATATTATCAAAGCTTATTTGAATAAATATATTTTGAGGTTGGTTTATTGGAATCGAATTTCCTAACATAGACATGATAGTCACAAACAAGAGAAGCTATTTTTTTTTCTTTTCTTCTTCTTTGAAGGAGTGGGGACAGATACACTCCAAGAAGCAAGGCAGGAGAGATTTCTGGGGACACTTTATCTTCTACTAATGACTAACTGTAGTGAACTCTAGGCTTTGCTTGAAGCCTGCAGACTTCATCCCTTAACTCAATCAAACCCTGTTAGGAATGTAGAAAAACATGCTATCTTTCTTCCTTGAATAAATCCCTTTCTTTTAACATGTAAGATGCTTTTTTTTCCCTTTGCTATTAGTGAACATTTAGTGACATCACTACATTGGTGAGTTAATATTTAAGTAATAAAACAACTAGGAGAATGGAGCATGTAATAAAGCAACCCAGACTGTAGTAACTATGATGTGCTTTGAATTATCAGCTGACCATTGAACCTCATGTGTGGTGTGTGCTACCCTCTCTTAAGAGAATTTTGTCAAAAGAAAAGAGAGAATTTTGTCAACCTGTGACAGTGATGTATACATCACGCAAAGGCCAGAGAGCCTCTAGAAAAGAAAACAAGAATATCCTGATATACACAGGTGGGTAACATGAAGGATATACAAATTGAAATATGTCTTCAGACATGATTCTGAGTACCTGGAAATATACATGGAAAATCAGTTAAAGGTCACTGAGTATGCACACATGGATGGAATATGAAAAGTAAATTTAGTCTACTGCGTGATTTTACCTAGGATCAGCCCTGGCTTGTGCCTACGGCTTTTTAGGATGATATGAAGCATTGAAATTACTAATTATAATCACACTTTCAACCATTCCATAAGGTCTTTGTGATTACACAAATGCAGACAAACTTTCTAATTGCTGCTTTGGGATCCTGTGGTGTCTAATATTGTATTAAACCATAGTACTAGCATTTTAGTTACTGATGCAAAAATCACACCAGCAATTGATAGAAATATTTATCAGTGTGTTCACTAAAATGAAAAAGCACTGAAGCAAGTAATAACATTTAAAACAAATAGGAAAGCCTAAATGAAAATGAAGCATTTGAATAATTACACAGTATGTAGTCCAGAATAAATGATATCAAAATCCACTTCTGTTTCGAATCAACATATTGAAATGTGGCAGAATCTTGATGATACTGTAGAATAAATATTTAATCCATACAAATATGCTTGTAAAACATTTCCAGACACTAGCATATTTGCAGTTTTTCTTTGGTTTGAAGTGATTAGCCCCGTAAATGATTAGTTTTGTTGTTGTTGTTGTTTGTTAATGGTGTATTATCACACACACTATGCATAAGGTTTTCATAGTACAGTATGCATAGTATATTCTACATCATAGAAGCTGGATAATATGAAGAAGAGTGTGACATCGGAATTGGGAGAAGGCTTATTAACAGCCACCAATATACAGATGACAAAGCCTTGTTTGCTAAAAGGGAGGAGGAATTGAAGCAATTGCTGGCAAAGTCAAGGATGGTAGCCTTCAGTATGGATTACAACTCAATGTAAGGAAGACCCAAATCTTCACACCTGGACTAATAGTAACATCATGATAAATGGAAAAGGTTGAAGTTGTCCACTGGGTCCACATCAGTGCTCATGGAAGCAGTCGTCAAGAGATCAGAGGCATGTTGCATTAAGTCACTCTGCCACACAAGAACAGCAAGGATGTTACCCTGAGGAATAAGGTTCACCTGACCCATGCCATGGTATTCTGCCTTGCATCATATGCTTGTTAAAATTGGACATTGAATGAGGACAATCGTAGAAAAATAGATGCATTTGAATTGTGGTGCTGGGAAGGATCTTGAAGGTTCTAAGGACAAACCAATTGTTTTGCAATATTAAAAATGTTCTCAATTCTTGATGGGATTGATTTATACCTGATAAAGCTCTACCTCATAGAGTACCACTCAGCAACTTCAGATTTCCAGATTTCCAGCATTCCCCTATGGCAAGCCTTCTCTCATTTTATTTATTCAAGGAATGAAAGGATCACCCTGCTTAGTGCAGACCATGTTCCGATTGTTGTCCAGAAGACAGCGAAATAAGAGGGGAATATTCTTATTGTCTAATGGAAAAAACAAACGTTTGAAATTATGTTGGGTATCACTTTCAGGTATTTATTAGTGTCCTCAAAAATAGCTATGCAAACCAAACGAAAACTCACTGCAATTTCAACTCATCGTGAACCCAGAGAACAAGGTAGAACCGACCTTTTGGTTTTTGAAAGTGTAACTCTTAGAGTAGAAAGCCTCTTCTTGTTGTGACGTGTGGTTTGAACTTCTGATCTTGCAGTCAGTAGCCCAATGGGAACCACTATGACAAAAGGGTTCCTAAAACAGTTACCAGATCAGAATTTCATTGTTGAACTCTACATTCTGACATGGCAAGAATCTTAATGTCAGGGTTCAAGAGGTCCTACGGACCTAAAACTAGCCCTGTCAGACAATGGTAGGGGATTGTGACAATTCTTTTTTTAAAAACAGGCTGTTTTTGTTCTACAATTCACATATCATACAATACAGGAGTTTAACTATATTTAAAAAGTTGTACACTAATCACCACACTCAATAATAAAATATTTCTTCTTTCTTGTACTCATTATTATTAGCTTGTAATTATTCCCAATATCCTCTATCATACCTCCTAAGAAACCATTACTCTGGTTACTGTCTCTAGATTTACCTATCCTGGATTTCATATACACACAGAAAGACACATCCATGCAAAACCAACACTTACAAAGTAAAACAGATAAAAAACTCAATTAAAATGAATGAACATATTAAAAACTAGAACAAATTTAAAATGGGTCAAAAGGGAGATAAAGTAATAACCTGTCCAATTTTAACCTAAATTCATTTTGCAATGGTCAACTTTGCAATGCACTATGTATGAAAGCAAGGCTATTCATTTCCCTGGTCTAAGGACAGAGGACTCACCGGAGGCTGAAACCAAATGGATTTCCCCTTCATTTTTTTTAACTTAAACAACTTTAAAATGGGTCAAATGGAAGATCAAATAATAAGACATTATATGTTAACCTAACAATATCTACCATATGCAACTTTACAATATTATCAGTCTGATAACAAGTCTGTTCACATCCCTCGATTGTGGTCAAGGTGCTTTCCCTGGAGGTTCTGTTCTTGCGTGGACCCTGCAAATGGATATAAGGCTTCCACTATCATTTATAGACTTCTGTAAATTGCTTGTTCAGAATTAAACTTTGATACCATTCCCTCCTTCAGATTTAGATGATTTTTGTTACAATCTTTGGAACACGTAAGCTGGTGTGCTTCTTCCATGTGGACTTAGTTGATGCCTCACTGAGATTACTGCTTGTTTTAAGACGAGCCTTTAAGACCTGAAGTACTCTTCTTTCTGATAGTCAGAAACCATGTTTTCCTCGCCATACTTTGCTATAACACCCATATCTTAAGTGAGTTCTTCATGAGGGCAAGAATCAAGAAGGGTTAGGCAATAAGAACTAGTTGATTTTAGATTGGGGCTCAAATTAAATGTGAGTCCAAAATCCATTTACATATTTATGGGTTATATCAGTCTCTGGTTCTCTTTAGAGACATAATTTTATGTTAGAGAACATTATCAATCATCCCCCTGTTAAGTAAGGTAATTCTATTGGTAGCATCACTAATTTAGCCAATGATATAGAATTTGAAACACTTGAGACAAGGCAAGTATACAAGTACAGTGCAGCTACAAACTGGATTGCATGAATAATTGACTTGTACAGAAACTGAAGTGACTGGGCACTATTTACACAAACAACGGTCATGGA